CTAGAATCGTTGGCTATGGTGACACTTGAGAAGGAAGCCGAAGGAGGAAGTTTAGGGTTGAAAGTCGATGTAGGAGGAATAATAGGAATTGAAGAGGAAGGTTGATTATGAATACAATGGTCTTGGGTGCTGTTAGAGGTATGAGGGCGGTTATCCCTTCCCGGTTGCCCACACCGTGGAAGGGTTCTTCTGGAGGTACTTGAAAAGGAAATTGGATTAGAGGCGGTCTCAGTGACCTGAGAGCGTGACCGCAGTGCCCAAGGGACAACTGCTTGAGGCCGGTCGCGCACGGCCTTTTTGTGGAAGGTTTTTGACGTGTTAGCTCCGTTCTTCAAAGGGCCTTACGCCGGAGACGGAAATCCGTGAGGTAAGGTGAGGTGCGCATTTTTAGGGTCGACCTTTTCTAACCCCACGCCTCGATGTGGGAAGGCAGCATCGCTGTTATGCTGGTTGTCCGAGGGAAACACCTTACAGCTGTCACACCTCTGTACAGTCAGCAGTACGACTTCGCCTTCGGACCTTGGGTTTGTTGCTTTTAGTCTTACCGCTCTTCAACCGACCTGTCTGACATGGTAGGACCTTGAGGAACGGTTGTTCCAGCCAGTATAGCTCGGTTGCTTCATCACGATAGGCAAGCCCGACCACCACGTCAAGGTAGCAACAACGGTCGGGAATTAATTGAAAGTATTTATTCTTATTCTACCTATCATTCTCTTACTTACATACACTATTAATTAGAATGGCGATAAATATAAACTCACGCAATTCTACTCAAAAATTGTGTAACCAACTTACGACTTTTGTTTTCATAATATATTATCTAAGTATAAAAATGTTCTATGTTGTCCTGACTACTGTTGAAATTGATTTCGACAAATTAGACCAAATAAATTCTTCCTTACAATCAAGATTATCTTATTGTTTTTATTATTACTATAGAACATGGTAACTAAATCTCTGTCAGTTCTCTCTAGTATCTATGATAAAAGTGGTCAATGTACAATATTCCTATTAGTAGGTTGAAGCTTAAAGTCCACAAGAAATCAATAGACTAGTTGTTTTGACAAATATCCATAGAGTAATTTGAATGTTCATCATTATTATTTTACACTGATGCATTACATGTTAAATAACTTTAGTTAAAAGTTCTATATTATGATGAAATATTGATCTTATGAAAGTTGTGTTTCATTTGTTCAACTTAAGAACAGATTTTTCCCATGTACATTCAAAATTTTCCCACGCCTAGTATGAGGTATTAACTGTTATATTGGGAATAGTTAGAAATATGTTATACAATTATACTATAGAACAAGTTATTAATAAAGTACCCTTTAACTTATAAAAAGTTGTTAGTTCCATCCTTCATCTAGAACAAAAGATCTAATACAACTACGTACTGATACAAGTTACTAATCTCCATATCTATATTATTGCTAATTTGACTTAAAATGATTGAAAACCACGTAGTTCTATCACTTAGTTTTCATTTCAATTGTTGGCAGTTATTGTGGACTTAGCTTTTATTTAGGTTATCTTATGTTGGTAAATAATCTAAGAGATATTCTTCTTTTAATCATATAGATAGGCGCTTTCAACGCTACAGAACATTTTACACGAAATGAAGTTTGTTCATATTTAGCCTATATTTTATAATAATAGTAAAAATAGACTGATGAATTACAGTTGTAAACATAATGGGACGATTTAGAGAGCAACTAACATAAAGGAATTAGATTTCTCCCCATTGCAAAAGTCAGTTGGCTATCTGAACTGATTAGCTAAGTAGACAACGTGATGGTGTTTGAAGCGAATGGTTCTAATCTCGGGGTGAACATTAACTGTGGGATGCAGGTAAATCTAGTTGGTGAGTCCCGAATAGGACGTAACACGCTTTCTGGATTTCACTCCTGGTTACTATCCATCCCTGTTTAAAAATGCTTATGAATTGCTGACATTATCAAAGCAATCCTCACAGAGTGGACACTTATCAACTGTAGTTGTAAACATCAAAAAGTGACCAACGATATTATCCGCTTGTTCAATGCAATGCAGGCAAAATGAGCCTTAGTTTTAAGACTGACTAACTTTCCGGAAGTTGGACGCCTTAACTACTATGTCACTTTCATACTCATAGTTCATCCTAAAGAGAGCAAGAACAAAGATTCCTTGTTTTGAAATTTATTCTGCCATGGATATCACTAAATCTTTATTTCCGAATTTTTATTATTTCTATTCATAATTCGTATAAATATAGCTTGTTATACCATTGTCAAGCTTCCTTGAACCAGTTGAATCGAACTCATCCGTGATTCGTGTTTATGCGGCTGCAATTCTATCTGGTACAGTCCAAATAACTCGTCAACCTTTATTGTTCTTGATAACTGTACATCATTTGAATCGATGAGTTTGTATTTATCAAAACACAAAATTCCCTATGAATGCAACATCACTTTCCTAATATCAGATGTATGGAAGATAGACATTGTTAGGAACCTACCCTTGAAAATATTATTTTTCTGCTTATTGTCAAAAGTTTGTGATAAACCTGATAATTAAGTGCGAACATGAGAGACTTAGTGATCTTGACCAACTCTGGACTCAGTCCGAACAATCAGAAAACTGTAATTATGAAAATATGATTTACAGTGCTAGGATTAGCATGGCTCAATATCGAGAACATTGGCGTCGTTGTATACATACTTTGTCCTCCCTTAAACTATGAGATTAAAATCGCTTCATATTTTTCTTTCTATGAACTAATTCTTTCCTCGCGTACTATGTTATTATACGCACTCAGTCTTTTACATATTACCACCACTGAATTAACTACTTCTATGAGTCCGGTGTTCATCTTGCTGTGCTGATTAGGTATGGCAACTTGAAACGATGCACATATGTGCCTGGTCCTACGTTGTAGCTGACTGACTGATTAGCATTTACGCTTTACCATTTCTGCACGTGTATCTCAATCGTGTAATTAGACGCTGTGTTACTTTGAATATCTATCTTTATATCCATTGGATTGTCATATCACATACGTAATCCGACTTAGAATAAATAACGAACAGTTTTGAATATATCTTTAGACAGCCAGTCATAATCAATGTAGAATCCAAGAACGTATATACTTTTATCTAAGTTCTCACATATTAACGTTTAATTGCAAAGGAATTAAAATAATATAGCAGCTACCATTCTAAGAAAGATTAAACAATCCGGATATTATTCGAAAATACAGGTGCACAATCTTTACTTTATAGCGCACGATGAAAAAAGGAATGAATCTGTGCCACAGTCAGTCAGTCAATCAGTCACAACGTAGAACTTCGTACGTACGTACATCAGTTCGAGTTGCACAACCACATTAGCACAGAGATGCAGTTGTCAATTCAAATCCCGTAGTGCTAAAGTTAGTCAAAGTACAAGCAGTAATCGGAAACATTAGGCTTTGAAGATGTTATTCAAGAAGTATAATACAGTGAGATAAATTTGGAAAGAGAAAGAAAGTAACATGAAGAATTCAGAAGATTAGAATTTGGGAGAACATAAAGAGTGGATGCACCTGTGCCATTGCAAACGATTTTGAGCCATGTCATTTAGGGTCTCTAGCCATCGGTTGCTAAAATCTCGCGGTCCCCAATCAGGTAGTCTACACCCACCAATATGAGACTGTTCCACTTTGACTCATTATAACACATGTCACCACTCAACGTTTAACTTGATAATGTAATTACTGTAAAGGATTGAATTTTATCAAAAGAGAGTTACATAAATAAGTGATAATAACCTAACTCAGTTTTATTATTCTTTTATTCTTTAACTATCTGATTTCTTCATTCCAGCTATTTATACAATAAAGATAATCGGGATAGTGAATTTACTCAACAATTTGTACGTTTATGTCAATTATTACCTCAAATGACAAATGTCGAACCAACATCATCATCGTCGTCGTCGTTGTCGTCGTCTATGCAAGCAATCGTTAATAAGACTGATATTCTAAATTTACTATGATTTCTTAAACAAACTAATAAACAATGGTTACAACAAACGAAATCCATCGAATTGAATACAAATTTACATGTTGGTCTACATGATTCATTAGTTCATTTAATTCATAATAATGATGATAATAATGATTATGCCGACATAACTAGTGCAACAACATTTAATGAAGCTATTTTCAAAGCATCTATTGAATGGCACAATAGTGATACACTACCTAAGCATCGTCAACTTTATTGGATTGAATTATTTGAAAGAGTATGAGGAAGGCAGTAAAGGAGAATCAATTTAATGGAGAAAATAAAGTTTAACTAAAATCATACATCTAAAGATACTACTTATTTACTTATTATCAAATGGACATACTATGATATTTACAAACATGTAAATAACATTTAATGCTGTATTCTATTTATCATAGTTCTTGTTTCTATAAAAAGATTATGAAAAGATTCATTTCACTAGCTAAGCGTACAATTACAATTGTGTTCAAACAATGAAGGCACAAGTAATTTATTACACTGAACTAAGTATTTTTCACTGGTAATAAACAAGTCACTTGGTGATGGAAAAGATCTCCAGTATTAATGGATGTTTCACATATATAAATGTGATACGATGAAATTATCTTATGAATAAAAGAAAACTGGTTTGTAGAATTCTAAATGTAGCAGAATATTTTAGGGACTATCTGTGCTTTGTGTAGTAACCAAGGTCATAATATATATCTAGTTTTCAAGTAATGATCGATCAAGTTGAAATTTAGCCATTTGTCTTTACTGACTTATGTTGTGTGTACTGTGTTTTTGCGTATCGATTGCTTAGAGTTATCCGGCAAGTGTTGATTTGTAGGGCTGGCCTTTTTCTCATTGTTTGGATTGGTCAGCAAGACGTATGTGTAATTTTAAGGGAACTGATGTCGACTAGAAGCTTAAAAATAAGGATAATATGTGTAAGGAATCAGAAGCGCTTTTGATCAAAGTTGAGAAGGAATGATAAAAAGTAAGTCTCCCGATCCTTCATATACTGACCATATGAATATTCTACTAACGAAAACTGGCGAGTGAATAGCGACAGGTTCATAAAGTGGAAAGGTAGTGTTATAATTAAGCTTGTAGAGGCAAATTTCCTCTATATCTGACTCCAATTGCTAGTATCCCGTTAACTGAATATTTAGTGAAGGTAAATCTCCTAGTAGAATTATGGATTTACTCGAGATTATTCTAAAGCTTGAACACCAGTTATCGAGATAATTTATTGTTAAAGATTGGTAAAATCCGCAAGCGCACAGGAAGCAAGCACACAGGGTGAACAAGAGTGTATATGTGTTACAATTCCGTATATACTTACGAGTGTTAATCAAGTATGGATAAATTATTGATTGTTTGTGTATTTCAATCAATGGGAGAATGAATTAAAAATTGATATGTGCTCAATCATACTCACACAGAAAATTACTTAGTGGATTACCGTGAGAAGGTAAATAATACAGCAGTTGAATGGGCTTAATACAAGCTGAACACTGAGATAATTAGTAATCGGTCAAGAGATGGCTTTCATTTCCAAGGGATTAAAAATTCACCACTGATAGATTTAAGTTCCGAAGGGATATTTATATCTAAGTGAGTACATACTCGGCGAGACTCTAATTTATGGAAGACCTCTGAACCAATCTGAAGTGACTTTGGGAAATATTTTCCAATCAGCAAACAGTTAGTATAGAGTAAAAATATGTTATACAAAATCAAGGAAATAAAGTGGATACATTTCAAAACTTATCAAGGTTGGAAAGTGGTTCTAAAATCGTAATGCATGCAGTAGAGGAAATCGTCCATATGGCTACAGAACAGTCGGCCTCTTGAGCCATGATAAAGTCTCGAAAACTCTTTCAGCCTCAACCACATATTGTTTATGTGCACCTCGGTTGTTGAGTACACAAAATGCTACTTGTGGATAACGACACGATGAACATAACCAAGCCTATGTAGGAGTCTGTAACGCGCGCTTTTCGAACGGGAAGTTTAGTCCTAACGGGATTTGCATATATCAAACTTGTGCTGTGTTATTGCGCATCAAAAGTACCATTTCAGTTCTAAAGAATCTATCCTGAGCTATACGTTCGGTAGATTACTTTTTTTTGAGTTTCACTATATTTAATAGTTACCTGTGGTTTTGCCTCAGCTTACTATTCGGTTTTTTTTGTTTTTCACGTATAGACTAGTTTCAGTTTATATCACTCGTTTTGTCCATTTTTGTCCGTTTTCAGTGTGCATTTTAGTGTTTTTTTAAAAAGGTCTTAAGCTTTTGCAAGCATCTATAACATAGTTTGCTTCAACACCGTCATGAGAAACTCATGCAAACGTCCGGGATGCCGTTTTGCTGTCACAACTGGCATGCAGTGCGACAACTGCAAAGGTTGGTTCCACGAAGCATGCACAAATCTGACAGCAACTGCTTACAACAGACTCAGCAAGTCAGACCAAAAGTGGGTATGTGTCACGTGCAACACGGACGCAGTAGTCTTGCTGAGTAACATCATTGTCCTACTGACAGGTCTTCGGAATAAGCTGTCAGTTAACTTGGAACACGACAGTAAAAAAACCGATATACAAACAAAAGCGCGCAACGGACTCAAAAATAGGGATGTCGATAGGTATACCATCGATGGAGAATCCATCAACACTAATGACGACGTGTCGAGGCTCAGTACCATCATTACGTCGACGGTACTAGACTCCCTAGGCAAACTCGGGTCTCCCAGCTCAGGGTCCCTGAACACAACAGTGGTTCCCAAAATCCCTGCAGGTGATTCGACCCACGTTAAGAGAGCCCAAAAGAACCAGGCATCACCGCCTAAGCCGAGCAACCCAAGTGTTGCTGCACGGAAAATAACTGGTGATTTAATCGCACAGTCTACCCCCAAGACTGTTCGTCCGGTCAATAAAGAGCCAAAGATTCATAAACGCACACTGACCTCCAAACAACAAGTTATTAAACGTGAACCCATCGTGAAACCTGGTAAATTAACAACAGTTCGTGACGATTCTCTCATTATCATGAACCTCGTCGACAATCCTGACCTTCCTCTCAGTCTGCAGGATAAAAACGACAGGATGCTGTGGGGTGAATTGAACAAGAAGCTCGAACTTCCTAGAATAGAGCCTTTGACGGTCACCCGGCTCACTCGAGGAAAGGATTCTAAGCATCTAAATCACCCGAGGCTTCTCCGAGTAACACTTAAGAATGCTACCGACGTAGAGGACGTCTTGCTAGCAAGTCACTTACTGAAATCAGATGGTAACGTAAGAATATTGCCCGACATACCGTACTCTGAGCGCAATATCATACGAAACGTCCCTAAAGAATCTCGCGAGAAGTTCTTCCGCGGAAGAAACATAATTGTCCAAGGTATACCGGAAAATGCAGACCCTACTCAATCAAATTCTGACATCAGGGAATGGAAATTCATCAAACAGTCCTTGAGGCTCAAACACATACTGACTCAGCATGTGACGAGACTAGCCAAGAAGGACGGTGATCTTAGACCCCGTCTAATGAAGATAACCTTCCCATCTTCCCACATGGCGGCTGCAGTTCTGGAAGCATTTCGTGCTAATAGACGTCGATTGCCACCTGGAATCCACATGCACCCGGATAGGCCATACGAAGTCAGGACCAAGAACAAAGGCAAGTTGGAGCTGACCATTCCACTTGTGGACTGTCTAAACGATAAAAAAACGTGTAAAGGACAGGGCCTACCACCTCGGCAAACCTCATATAGGTGGGCTACCTGTCCATTCACATAAGGTTCATACAGAAAAACAGGACGAAGCTCACGCGTTCCAAATTGAAAGCATAAACTGCTTATATATGAACGCCGCGAGTTTACCAAACAAACTGGATGAACTACGTGAACTTAGCAACGCTAACAAGGCCCATCTGATAGGAATATCTGAAACCTGGATATCTTCTCAGTTCTCGGATCAAGAGTTAGCATTACCTGGGATGACTTTGTTCCGCAACGACAGAAAAATAGGAATTGGGGGCGGAGTAGCCATATACATAAGCTCTTGCTTGGAGGTGCACCAGGTTCACAACCTCGAGTTTAACAATCTTGAGGAATCCATATGGTGCTCTGTAAGGTTGTCTAGTACTTCCAGGTGTCTAGTCGGAGTCATTTACAGGAAGCCAACTGCCGACACCGAGTACGATAGTCGTATGCTGGAAGGACTATCCCGCTCTATCCGTCTCGGTTTCACACACATCCTGATTCTAGGGGACTTTAATCTCCCTAGAGTCAACTTCGCGGAACACACGTACACTGGAGGCGACAACTCAACTGAAGCTCGGTTCTTCAACCTCATCGATAACTTGGGCTTATATGAAAATGTGAGGTCGGCAACTCGTTGGAGAAACAGTCAGACACCATCGCGCTTAGACTGTGTATTCACTAACGAAGAATTCCTAGTCGACAACCTCTCAATCCTGGCTCCTCTGGGAAAAAGCGATCATGCCGTCATAGCCTTCAGTTTTGTCATCAAAACTAAGCTAAGGTATCCCAACAATAATTTGCGTTGGAATTTTAAACGGCTGAATGTGCCAGCTCTACATGACCATCTACAACAGGTGGTTTGGGATGTTCACCCTCAAATCGATGTGGATGGTCATTGGGACTTCTTACTGCACACGCTCTTATGTGCTACAGACCATTCAGTTCCTCAAACGGTTCCCAAAAGCTTCAAGCCACCTACAGTAATCAAGAACCGTACCCTTCGCCTCCTAAGCCGCAAACGGCACTGTTGGGCGGAATACAAACGAACTAATAACGATGGAGCGTATAGGCAATACAAACATATCAGGAACACATGCACGAAGGCTATAAGAGAAGACAGGCTTCAGTACCAAACAAAGCTTATGGACAAATTCGCCTCTAACCCTAGAAGCCTATTCCGTTATGCAGCCTCTCTTCGTCAAGCCAAAACAGGAGTTTCTCAACTGCTAGGTCTAACGGCCCGACCAACAACGATGGCGACGCCGCTAACCTTCTGGCGGCCCATTACTCTCAAACATTTCAACCGGCTGACATCAACTTTATTGACGACAGTTTCATCTGCAATTCCACAGGACTTTCTGAAGTGGACCTAAGCGCTGACTTGGTGTTCCGGAAACTGCAGCACTTAAGACTTGACACTTCTCCTGGCCCGGATATGGTTCATCCTGCCATACTGAGGGAGGCAGCCTCAATCCTGGCAACGCCGCTTAGCGTGATGTTTTCACACTCGCTTAGCCGAGGCAAATTACCGGAAAATTGGAAGTTGGCTCACATCACACCAATTTTCAAAGGTGGTCGACGCAATGAACCTTCAAGTTATCGGCCGGTAGCTCTTCTGTCGTTACCTTCAAAACTCATGGAGTCCCTGATATGCGACGGTTTAAATGACTATCTACTGTCCTTAAATTTCTTCTCACCCCAACAGCATGGTTTCAGGAAGGGTTACTCTTGTATAACCAACCTGCTGACTGCGGTGGACAGATGGACAAGCATCCTCGATCGCAAGGGAAAGGTTGATGTCATTTACCTTGATTTCTCAAAAGCTTTTGATAAGGTTAACCACTTGTGTCTTATCAACAAGCTCAAACGACTAGGTATCAAACCACCTCTAATCGACTGGCTTACTTCATACCTAAAAAATCGACACTTTAAGGTTAGGGTTAATTTCACTTTATCTCAAGCTATGGAATGTCCTAGTGGGGTCCCCCAGGGCTCAGTACTAGGGCCTCTTCTCTTCTTGATCTACATAAATGATCTTCCTCAACAGGTAACGTCAGACTTATTACTTTTTGCCGACGACGTGAAACTTTGGAGAGAGATACGCAACCAAGACGATACACAGGCACTTCAGAGGATCTGACTCGACTTCAAAGTTGGGCAGACGATAACGGACTTACCTTTAACACTTCAAAGTGTAAAGTAGTCCATCTGCGACATGTCGCAAACTACAGTTACAACTTAGGAAACTCCTCTCTAGTAGTATCCCAAGTCGAAAAAGATTTAGGAGTCCTGGTGCCCCATGACTTAAAGTCTTACGCTAACTGTGACAAAAATGCCTTCCGAGCAAACCTTGCACTGGTAACGTTGAGGCGCATTTTTGGCCAGTTTGACGGAAGAACTTTCCACACAATCTTCAATAGTTTCATCCGTCCCCATTTAGAGTACGGAAACATAGTACTCCCCCCCTCACTCCAAAAGGACAAGGTCACTTTGGAGCGTATCCAACGGCGAGCCACGAAATCAGTTCGAGGACTCAAATCTAAGCCTTACGAAGAACGCCTCCGTTCACTAGACCTTTACCCACTAGAATATAGGCGTCTTAGAGGTGATTTATTAATGGCTTATAGTATTCTTAACACTTCTGGACATCCTCTTAAACACCTACTTAAGCTTAGTTCGAATAATAACCTAAGGGGTAACACCCAGAAACTGGAAACACAACATAGCAAGACGGAATGTAGACACAACTTCTACTCCTTAAGAGTTGTCAAAAGCTGGAACTCGCTGCCGGCCGAGCTAGTCCAAGCGACTTCTCAGGAGTCCTTCAAGAGGCAACTTGACCTATTCTTAAGGACCAAGGACAGCATCGCACTATGATTTACCAATTTCTTTTCCTCTTTTATTGTTAACATACCTAGGTTCCTGCCTGGAGGATTTGGTGATCCCCTGCTACTAGACACGGAAGCCTGTTAAGCGAAAGCTTCTTCTATTCCGTCCACAACCATTTGAACCATTTGAACCACTCTCCAAACATCCGGATATATTGTAGTACCTGGCTGCAGACAGTGTTACTGGTGCTTTTATTATCCAGTTCGCAATATTTGTCGTAATTCGCCGTAGTGAGGAATTATATATGGGGTTTTCATCACTAACTGACATCAGCTATAATGCCAGAAATTCATTTAGCCAAATGGAAGACAGGCTTTCGCGTTAACATCCTAGATCTATTATCTTATACCTGATTGATTCGTCCACAAATTATAGTCCCGTCGTTTTATTTGTTATAGCCGCTCAATTATCATGTTTTGTACAAAATTCCCTGTGAACCGACCGTACGTTAGCACAAAGCACTAAAGTTTGCGCCGTCACCTTGAAATCTCTAACAGGCATCTGATTGGCTCGTCTGTGAATTAGAGTCTCGCCACATACATATTTACTCAAATAAACTTAGTTTCCTACCTTCCGTCCTTCCTCCTAAGTAGTCGAGATCATATACAAAAGTGTGTCAGCATCAAACGGTGTGACAGTAGGCTTCACAACATGCACTAACTGCTTAAAAAGATATATGATACGAAGTGGCTAATCAAACGGGTTTTCTAAGCTGTCCAGTCGCTGATCATTTTGGATGTAATGGTATCATTTCAAGAGAAACTGTGAGAAAATGACTTCAAATGTTGTTATACGTTGCTGAAACTAAATTTATTCATTCGATAAGATACTGTACAGTTGTCGATATTACTTTGGTCCGGTTACCTCAGTTTTTAATACGCATGCTTTCAGTTATATTAACCTCTTTCCCCGTGTTTCATTATTATCTGACCTCCATTTATCCAAACAGTCTATTTTCATTGTAGTTCATATTCCTCAATATAAACCTGTTCCCATGACATTCTGTTTTTTTCTTTAAAATTCATATAACTAATCTGTCAATACTCAACCATGTAAACTACTTCATGTTCTCTGATATAAACTATATACAAGTAACCGCTAAGCTACTAGTATTTGACCACAGATGCCTTAGACTTATTGCTCACATCTGCTGGGATCACCGGGTAAGTATCTTTCTTTCTACGAACAAATTCTTTCTTCCCGTACTATGTCATTTTACTCTCTCTTCCTCTTATATATTACCACTATTAACATAACCACTACTATGAATCCAGTGTTCATCTTGCTGTGCTAATGTGATATGGCAACCTGAAACGATGCATATATGTGTATGGTCCTACGTTGTAGCTCACTGACTGACTAAACCCCTAATATATTTTGAAAACTATCGTTTCTAGGTTATAAGCAAAATTATTCTCAGCGAATGAAATCAAAATAATTTCAATGTTTCATCCAGAAAACGTATCTGAACTTCTTCAGTGTAATACAATCAAAAATTATCACAGAAAATTGTTTTCTCTATAATCGCAGCCTAATTTCTGGCAAACCATTCGTTCAAATATCATCGGATATTTGCATAAATTGTCTAGATCCTTAATACAACTGGATACGTCTATCTCCATTCAATAGCCAATTGATCTTCCTATTTCTTTTTATCTGACATATTTAAATCAACAAAACGAATAATTTCTGTTCTATGATTTATTTATAATTCGCAACCCGTAAATAATATTTACAAAATGTTCAAGTTTTACAAGTAGAGACCCGTTCTTAATCGGAGCCACAAGAAACGTGATAACAAGTAAAATCTGATAATTATAATTTATTATTATTATAGTAAGAGATAAGATCTGTACAAACGAAATCAAATCATTGTGTATTTCTGAAGAAAGATATGAGGATGATTATGAAGAGGATTTAGATGGTGATGTTTATTTAGAAGATGATGATTTAGATGGTGATGATGTTTTAGATCATGGTGATGATGATTTAAATGGTGATGACGATGATGATTTAGATGATGGTGATTTTTTATATGATGGTGATGATGATTTAGATGGTGACGATGATGATGCTGATGAATATGATGATGACGATGATGATGATGATGTTGATGACGAAGATGATGATGGTGATGATGATCATGATGATGATTATGATGATTTAGATGGTGATGATGATTTAGATGGTGATGATGATGATGACGACGATGATTATGACGATGGTGATGATGATGATGATGATGATGATGATGATGATGATGATTATGATGATGATGATGATGATGATGATGATGATGATGATGATGATGATGATGATGATGATGATGATGATGATTTATGATGATGATGATGATGATGATGATGATGATGATGATGATTTAGATGGTGATGATGATGATTATGATGATGACGATGGTGATGATGATTTAGATGGTGATGATGATGATGATGATGATTTAGATGTTTGAGATGATGATGATGATCCATGCTACCACACTTAAGTAGGTTAATTCATTTATAAGTATATGTGTATTTCATCTACCACGTAAAACTGAGAAGATGATGTCAAGTTGAAATTGTAATTGTTCGAGGTTCACAATTAAAAACTATGTCTCGGAAAGCAGATGTATCATGCATGTGTGAGCAGTGGAAGCTTGATAATAGTTCTCAAGAATTCTAAACACGATGATGTATCAATTCCACGAAACCCTCATTGGCATATTTACGTTATACAAATCTTATATCTGATATGAAATAAACCGAAATTACCCGTCACGTTCAATTAGCAGAATTTATGCTTTCCGCCCACGTTAACTTTGAAATTTAATACAATGTCATATATTAGAGTGAGAAAAGTCTGTGTCTAAACCACTTTTATTTTAAGCAAGAAAACAAAACACAGTATGGCTTTGTTAGTACTATAAATAGAAAGCACTGTTCAGAGAAACGTGAGTTTCCGCTATGCACGACATGAGACCACCAGAAACAACGAATTACAAAGCTAGTTTAATTCCATTTAAATGATAGTAAGGCTTAGTGACACAACTGCAATTTATTCGACGTTTTGAACAGGCGTGTCGAAAGATGAGAGTTATAGACCTAACTTCTGGCAGCAGGTTTTTGAAACTACCACATTGAACGTGAAGTGCACTGTATAACAGTGGATCATATTGTAGAACGTCCTTCGTAATTGGGAAATGTGTAAAGTTGTTAGTGTTTGACCATAGACCGACGTATCTCACGTAAAGAAAAATGACTGAGTATATAACGATCTTAAAGGCAAATTATTATATTGAGCTGAAAAACCGATAAACAGGGTCGCAAATACCTAACAATTGGAAAATGACAGATAGAAAAATCCGTCCTTTCCAAAATCCGTAACTTTATGCATTACCTGATTTCAGCCACCACCTTATTACAATGTAATGTCGACTGACACAGATGATCACGAAAAAACCACAGGATAAGTATTTTAGCGGATTTATGATGACACTATACACTTTTTGATATTCCTTCGACGACTTGGTTACAATCACATTAGCGATCTATACCCGAACAATAAACACAAATACCCAGTATCGAAAGTGCCTGGACCCCCACATACCACAGGAAAACTGCTCCTTAAGTTTGAACAGATGATCTCACGAATTTTTCTCAGACCGAACACGTACTCCAATTAAATATTTGCGTAGAGATTTCGAAATGTCAAAACCAACTAACAAAATAAAGGTATTCTGCAATAGTATGGTCATATGTCAGTAAACACACCTTGTTCTTAGCAGCCGCTATTTTCTCTGCTCTACTTAGTTCCGACATCTTACTTCTGCCAGGGTGACGTGTTAAATGAGCTTGGCTACCTTCCATGACCTTGGCTGCTAGGCTACTTTCAAGATGTTTTTACAGCATATAAACACCATAAAAGTTCTACACTCAAACTGAGGTTGTACAACAGATTATGAGCTTATACATCTTACAAAATTACACAAAAAATAACAAGAAGACATCTTCTTTGTAACGATTAACAGATAGAGATGAGAACATTTTATTTATTATTTGTATATAGATGACATTAAGTGACTCTTAAAAGAGAGTGTCTTTGTACACATTCAAGGTTGCATTTTAGTTTCAACTCGAGTATACCGAAGTTCGCAAACTTGAACTGTGTTTTTGTATGCATTGTTTGGTTGAAGTCATCATGTACTTACTCAACTGCTACATCCCAGTGGTCGACCTGAACAAATGGTGATCAGTGAATGCAGAACGTGTGCATTCCCAAATACGCTCTGCTTGATTACAAAAGGGTTGACTGTTACGATCAATGAATCCGAGTACAGGAATGACTTTTGGGTAATCCGTCTCTCCAAAAGTTTATGAATATTTATGCTTCGAACTGTCCTCTTGAAGACGCCGCAGCCATTTCTAGTTTGATGACACTTCGACCAGTAACACCTTCCATAAATGAATCGTGCTCACCCAGTGATACCAAAAGTCAGAAGCAAGGAGATTCGAAAATATATTTGATAGGCTATCAATATATCGAGAAACGACTGATCTAAACTGACTAGCGATTGCAAAAGTTCCTACTCGTGATCTGGTGCAGATGCATGACCGAGTGCCTTCAGCTAATTGAGCTCAATAAATCTAATGTATTCAGCACACAGTGCCGAATACCTACAGAGCTATTGTGTTTGGAGATTTATTTACCGATACATTAATTGCACAGCGATTACTGTTGTCTAATAAAGATCGGAAAGTACAGCAGGTTCATGTCGCTTACCTTGCGTTCAATCATTAACAAATTTGACGAAACGAGTAATGAATGTTTTAAGATCGACATGACGAGAACACATTACGAAGGTATTGTCGAAACAGTGATGATAACTCTTTTCATCCTGTTCGAATCAAGTAAAATTACGAATGAAGATGGCACGTTAGTCGCTTGAATGTGAGTAATTTACATCAAATTTCAATGAACTTAACAGACACTAATTTATATTTTTTTCAAAAAACATATATATGCTGAATTTTGCTTTACTGCACTGCAGCTACCAGGTGATGATGGATAAGACAATGGATGAAGTAAATCAATTAGAACATTACTTTTCACTTTCATCACAAGTGTATTACAGTGACAGAATAATCAAATAAAATTCATAACCTTTTGAAAACTGAATTCTTCGTCGTTTTTGAGACATGTAGATCACTAACGTATATGATCTATATCGAATGATTGAGGGCTCACTCGAGTTCAACGGGAATGGTGCGACGGAGCAACTTGCATCGAAGTCACTCCTCACAGTCAGCACCTAACGTGAATTACATCCTCGACATATCAACGTACTGCTGTGACCGTTTCGTGCCTTAAGGTAACCCTCGTGCTATCGATAGAAGAAACCAGACAAATAGTGAATAGGTCTTTATTTCGATCTTCGCGCAGTCACAGTAGAGCGTGGAGTTATGTATTCAGACAAACAAAGCCTCTCAACATTCAATATAAGATAATAGGGAATATAACACCTATACAAAATAAGGAAGTGAATAAATACTTGAACTATATTGTCCAGGCATATTCTTGGTTGTTTGAGGTCAACTCCTAACCAACCAACCTAGGCTGTTACATTAGCTTCCCCCTAGAATCGACTTCCGTAGGAACGTCGGTTCGATTAACGTATCTATCAAAAACACCTTAGTTCTGTTTTTCCAGCCCAAGCGAAAATTATCAACTCGCTCACTGTTTGACTTCATCAATGACGACTAATTCCGTCAGCAATCAACGATAGTCCGTCGATGTCTCTTCATTTGATATCCTGTCTTCTTATTTATAGCATGTGATTTCTTGTACAACTATTGCTAGCAGTTTACTACGTGCCCTCAAAAAAGTGTGAGAATGTGGGACAAGAATATCTGAGGAAAAACCGCGAGCGGGCTACCCAACACCATGTTGGTGAGGTACAATTTTTTCATGCTCAGACCGGCTATCAGGTGTTTACTCGCCTGCCTCTTGAGTCGCCCTCAAGTAACATGTAAAGAAGAATCTCCTTCAAAAGTAATGGTGAAAGTCAATCAACCTGAAGAACTGCTCCACTGCCTGATTAATTTAATAAGATACAAAGTGGAAATACATAAATATAATTGATAATTGTTCGGTTCCACGTAAGTGCTTGGCCTCCAGAACGGATTGGTATTCTGGAAGGAAATAAACATAGTGTATACATCTTGTGTACAAAAAACTCTTTTATAATGCATATATGTAAAAGTGTAAGTTTGCTAGAAGTTGGACCCATTGTCAAACCCTATCAAATGTATGACTTTGGGTCTATGAAAACCGCCTTTCATAACCAGGTACGTAACCAAGGGTACATAAGAGTACTCCACAAAATCGGAAAGAATATTTGGTTAAGGAGGAAAAAAATTGCGTAGAGTGTGAAGATCAAGTACAGTTGTGTCAAATACTCTTTTGTGGTTTGATTTAGGTATTCATGATATATTGAAGCAATATTTCATCAATTCATCCAAGCAACGAATTGGTCTGCACCTTAGAAGTGTGTAAGTCCTATTATTCATTAGTATTATGAATGATTAATCGGTGTAAGGAAATATTGAAGTCATTTCCTCGTGACCTGATGTGGTTTAATGGCTACCCACCTTCAATACGATGTTTGTGTGACCGAGAAATTATAAAGTTTGAACACCGAAAACACACTTTCTTTGATGTATGTTCATTCCATGTTCATCCAGTCTTTTCAACACTGCTCGTACATGCTGCTCGTGTGATTGCAAATCGAGGCTGGCAATTAACAAATCGTCTATCTACCCCTGCGGCAATGGCATATCTCGAAGTAGGTTATCTATGAATCTTTGAAATGTCTGTGCCGCATTTCTCAGGCATAATGTCATGCGTACAAACTCGAATAAGCCAAAAGGTGTAGTAATAGCTGTCTTGGGGATATCTTCATCGGCCACCGGGATATTGTGATATGCCCTGACTAAGTCAATTTTAGTGAATATGTTCATATCTTGTAAACCGTCTGTAAAATCTTGGATATGCGGTATTGGGTACCTATCTGGTTCACTTTGACAATTGAGGGCTCTGTAATCCCCGCACGGTCGCCAGTCGCCTTCATTTTTCTTTGAGACCATATGCAAAGGGGATGCCCATCGGCTATCAGAGGGACGGATAATACCGAGTTATAGCATATAATCAAACTCGGCTCTGGCGATTTTGAGCTTATCCGGTGCTAGTCTCCTGGTTTTTGCAATCACCGGTGCTCCTTTGGTTTTGATATTATGACTTACTTTCAGTTTGTCTTCGGAAGGCTGTGGGTATGGTTTAGATATGTT